AAAAAAAAAAAAAAGAAAACAGGTCCGATATCTCAAAGATCATTAATATGTAATTTTTTTTTTCGGCTCCTCGCGCATCGCTGCGCTAAAATGCATATTTGTGTGCAGTGGCGTGTAGAGTTTGCGTTCTCCTCCAGATTTTTGGCAGGTGTCCGCGACGCGACGCGCGGCGCCTCCGAAAATAAACAGTGGAGTGCTCTCGGTATGATGTATATTCTCTTGTTGGCGGACTTTTACAAGTACGCGATAAAAAAAAAATATCATTTTTTTTTACCACAATGACGTCCGAGGCATACTTACTTACTTTGTGGTTTTATTGAGTAATTTCTCGTTGCTCTATTTTTATGGACGACGTGTGTATAGTTATGCTGATTGACTTTACAAAAAAAGATAAGAGTAATTACTTTCAAAAGTATGTACACAACGTGTGTGTGATCGCGATAAATCGGTATTATCAAAGAATATGCGCGGGGCCGTGTTTCTTGACTCTGGAAAATAAGTCGTATCTGTCAGGATTAAAGGAAAATTCTCGAAAAATCAAATTAGAGTTTTCACTTACATTCTACGTTTGTGTACAATTCACTTGTACACTTGTCATTATGAAAAACAAATTTTTTTTTTTTAATTATAGCTTTATAAATGGAAAAAAGGTCTTTTGTACGTATAGTTTTCCAGTGAATAATTCTCAACGTTTGAGTATACGGGAACAGGAAAACAGGAAAAGTTACAAGAGAGCATTTCTTGGGATAAATTTTTTCCAAAGTGCGAATGTGTACAGTGAATTTGGAGTGACGTGGGGAATAAGTTTTCCCATAAAATATGAGAACGGAGGGCACGTTCGCTTTTCTCACACTTGCAGCTGCTCCGATTGGTATATATATACATATAAAGTAACGGTATGACCGTATGACGAATTTCGGAGCGAGAGTCCGATGTGTATAACTGTATACATTAAGGGATCCCTTCCCCCTTTTTCGATTCCTTTCATTCCGTCTTTTCTTATTTTTTTTGCTCGTGTGCGTGCGTCCGTGTCCGCGTGCGCCGTATGTACATAGCAGATTTCGACCAATACATCGGAAGGAAGGGGGGGGGGGAAAAAACCACAATTTTTCTCGAAAAAAATTATCATTCGCATAACGATAACAACAATATTTTTGCAGGCCTTGAATTGTATATGCCACACTTGCGGCACCTACAAGGACCGGCTGCACTCGTGCCTGCACTGCATATTCTTCGGCTGCTACGTGAAGGGCCACATCCAGGAACATGCAAAAACGAAAAAACACTTTCTCGGTTGGTCGTCATACCTTTGTCGCCTATATTTAATTCATCATTAAAAAAAAGAAAATTATTAAATGACGTTTGTGAAATTTTTGAAATTTTAGCAGTGGATCTTAGCTACGGCAACATCCTGTGCTTCCAGTGCGGCGATTACGTTTACGACCGCGAATTGTTCTCGGTGGCTAAGGCCCAGCGGAGCGAGACTGCGAAATCGCTGAGCCTCGGCGAATTTTACCGGGCCTGGGAACCCTCCCTCTACGAAGTCGAGCTTCTCAGAAAGAATCCGCGCAGGAGACGCGTCACCGAGAACTCGACCATCGGTTGGTTACTTTTTTATTTTTATTTTTTTTTCTCTATCGGTCAAGTTTACTGTTTCAAGGCAAAACATCGATTGTTCGAATCGAGCAAAAGCCGCGATAAGAGCGAGCAAAAATATTGCCGTTTTGCTTCGATTAAAAAAAATTTTTTTTTTAACTTTGTCAAAATCAAAAGAGCAACAGTATCCAAAATTTAAATTGAAAGTTAATACAGAGTCCACTCATTTCCAGGTCTCCGGGGGCTGATAAACCTGGGCAGCACGTGTTTCATGAACTGCATCGTCCAAGCTCTGATTCACACGCCGCTGCTGAGGGACCACTTCCTGGCTGACCGGCACCAGTGTCCCCAGCCGAACTGCTGTCTCGTATGCGAGGTATCGAGCCTCTTCCAGGAGTTTTACTCGGGTAACAAGGCGCCCCTAATCCTCCACAAGCTATTGCACTTGATTTGGACGCACGCGCGCCACCTCGCCGGTTACGAGCAGCAAGACGCCCACGAGTTTTTCATAGCCACCCTCGACGTGCTGCACAGGCACTGCGAACAGTATTCACAGACTGCCCCGTTACTCGTAAAGGACAACCCGCACCACTGCAACTGCATCATTGACCAGATATTCACGGGTGGCTTGCAAAGTGACGTTGTTTGTCAAGCTTGCAAGTAGGTGTATTTCTTTTCTTGTTTTTTTTTTCCCTCCCACTGTATTTTTAGAATATTTAACGTGGGATATTTCTAGTGGCGTATCGACGACGATTGATCCCTTCTGGGATATTTCACTGGACCTAGGTCCGACCTCGAGCAGCGCTACCAGTGATGGAACGGGGGCGCCTACGAGCTTGCTGGACTGTTTGGAGCGATTCACGCGCGCCGAGCATCTCGGCTCTTCGGCCAAGATCAAGTGCAACAACTGCCAGACCTACCAAGAGAGCACCAAACAGCTGACCATGAAACAGCTGCCAATCGTCGCGAGCTTCCATCTGAAGCGCTTCGAGCACTCCAGCATACAAGATAAAAAAATATCCACCTTCATAGCGTTTCCCGAAAAACTCGACATGACGCCTTTCATGTCGCACAGACGGAACGGTAACAATAATACCGACTTCATTGACACGTTGCACGAGAACGGCGAAGTTTCGGCACTGAGCGATAATAGGTAGGGTGGATTATAATTGATTCGCTTGAGAAATGTATTTGGTGATTTTTTGAGTGTATTTTTCTTTTTCTATTGCAGGTATTCGTTATTTGCAGTCATCAATCACGAGGGTTCGCTAGAGACTGGACACTACACGGCTTTTATTCGACAGCAACGGGATCAATGGTTCAAATGCGACGATCACCTCATCACAAGAGCTAGATTGAAAGATGTATTAACTAGTGAAGGGTAATCAGTTCAAAGAGTCTATATGCAATCGTTTCTTTGCTCTGTGTTGTAAAAATTTACATAAAAATTTCTTTTTCTGTTTCAGGTATTTATTATTTTACCATAAGCAAATTTTAGAATACGGCAGCAATAGTAAAGCGTGAAAAAGTCTGATTTTGTGTGATTATTAATAATCAACTTCACATAACGATTCCAATTTTCACTTAGCAGTTAAGTTTGGCCAATCGTCGTGAGGAATAGATTTTCTCAGGCGCTAAGCTCATGTGCTGATGAATTTTTCCGAAAAATGACAAGAACTGCTGACCCTATTCTCGTGGCTAAGAGAATAAGTCTGTCATTATTTTATACAATCATGTTTAAACTGTTTGACTATGTTTACATTGGGACGAGCAGTTTTATCATTGACAAAGACTTGCTATGTCAATTAGCATAGCGTTCTATTTTCTAACTTAGATATGAAAAAAAAAAATTTTGCTGGGATATGCAAATTTTATGTGAATTACGGTGTGAAAAAACTTTTACCTATGATCTGACGTTTTTTTATTTTCTCGTCTTATCTCGTCTTCGTCAGATTTTTTTGACGCTCAAAACGGAAAGAAATAAAAAAAAGATCTACAACACCTTTTGTTTTTCGACTCGACTGAAATAGTTTTAAACACTTATCCGCGCGATTTCTTATTTTTACAATTGTTTTGTACACATCAAACGCAAGATTTTTATTATGGAGTCGATGAAAAATCCTATATATGACTTGGTGTATCAAATTAAACTTTCCTTTTACGCGGTTGGAGGACAATTAGTGATTTTTTTTTCTTATTTGTAAGTTTTCTGTAATGTATGAGACGACACGAAATTTTCAAACTTATGCGTGGAATATTGATGTGAATATATTTGTTTACTGTGTTCAAAAAAAAAAAAAAAAGTTATCAATAATAAACAAAATGATGAACCGTGTTATTTGTAAATTAAGCAAAGATACCCTCGTTTCAATGAATTTCAATAAGGGTATTAAATTGAAAGAAAAAAAGTAACGACGACGCTCTTGTAATATTTTGTATAAGGCTGACTGGATGAGCGTAAAATAAAAATACCTATATATTTAAACATGTGGCATTTATTTTTTTTCTAGCTTAGAACCTTTCAATTGTATTATATGGTGAAATTTTAAGATAACAATGTTTTTTTTTTTTTTTTTTTTTTTTTTTTTTTTTTTTTTGATGCAAAAAGAAAAAAAAAAAAAAGGAGACACCTCTTTGTCGTGTGTACGCGAGAGAGTGCGGATTATGATAATGATGGTCTCGTTATGAATTTGCTTCTCTCCCCGGCCGAGATGAGGAACAACAACAGCGGGCGAGAGTTCAATGTACCCGCGCGCAGCTGCAACGGACCAGAGAGCGGAAAGCGCGCAAAACACTTGTACTTTTTCGCGATTATTTGTCCATGAGTGCATTGGCGCGAATTATCTAAATTATTCGAATTTACATTGCGTTACATGGGTGTTTGAGGTATACATTTGGTGGTGCACTCTGTCACGGGAACTCATTGATTCGTATCTTTGCAATGCACGATATTTGTCCAAACTAAAATAATTTCATGCGTTTGGCTATAAATTGATTATTTCGCAAAAAAAGGTGACTAAAATTGCATATGATTATTTTCGGGGGTTTTTTTTTTTCTTTTTTTAATCTGAACTGATATAAATGTTTTAACTACATCCTCGGATAACAATGACGAATAATTTTTTATGAACAGTCATAATTTATAAAAATTATCATCAGTTACTATGAAAATTTCTTACTAATTATTCAATGATAGTAAGAATTATATAAATTGTAGTAAGTTACGATAAGCCATAATGTATAAAATTAATCATCAGTTATTACTATTTTTTTTCAGATATTTTTTATGATGAAAAGAAAAAAACCACTCATCGAATTTGGACTCGATTAACATTCTTATTACCGTTTATTATGACTTATCGTTTGTTATTGAAATGATTGTCATACTTGGGTAAAATGATAAAATTCTTTGCATCGACTCGGAAAAAATAAAAAAAATAAAAACCTACTACAATGTCGTGCTCAAATTGTACAAACATAAATTTTCTTTCGAGATAAAAGTCGTTTGGTGAAAAATTTTGTTTCCTTTACAGGATTTCACCTGTTGTGTACTTGAAAATACAGTTTTCTCGGAGAGATTTGTATAACACTCAGCGTCGCAAGTGTCATCCGTGATTTCTCGCAACTCGAAAAAGAGTGAACGAGCGCGTGAGTCACGAAAGTATATAATATTTCGAAGAATCATCGGCCGAGAGGAGAGAAAAAGTGGTACACATTTCGCACCGTATACATATATATATATATATATTTTTTTTTTTTCACCACCAACAACGTTCATTATGTCGTCACAGAGGAATTGCTTTGAGAGATNGTACCGCTGGTAGAGTTTTGAAAAGCCTATTGAACTTGACTTACGAGGTAGTTTGAATATTTCAATGGTAATTCAATGTTGAAAATAATATTTTTATTTTGTTTTCTTTACTGAGAAAAACTTTTTTTAGGTTCCCGCGAGCATTGTTATCCTATAATTGAAATAAATTTACAACCCAAAGTGGGCACCATTTACAATTGATGCCATGAAGAGAGAAAAAATTAATAATTGTTTTGTCCCGAGGGAGCACACCAGGACTCATCAGTGAAGGGCGAATAACGTGCTCCCTATAAAATCCGGACACTTGCGGGAATGTCAATGTGAACCCTCAGTCACCTAGCGGATGGTTAGTGAAGGTGCAAATAAGGTATAAGTCACACACACATTGATACCTACACATGACAAAAGAGTGTGTGTAAACGTAAACAGCTCCGTGCTCCGTTTTGTAATGTTTGTATACATAGAGGAAAGAGAAAGATAAGTATATATACACATCAGACTGTGGAGCAGAAAGTAAAAATGGATGCGCTGACGACGTTCGGCTCGCATAGGTAAACAAAGCCTTCTCTACATCAAAAGACGATCTCCGTCGACTGTCATCACTTGGAAATAATTTTTTTTTTTTTTTATTCCAGGCTCGTACACATCGATCTGAAAGGAGCACCACCTCGAGTCAGCTATTTCGAAAAGGTGTGTACACCACTTACCAAAAGTAGCTGTCATTTACGAGAAACTTGTTTACGTTCTGTGGATATAGTTTGTTTTTCCTTCCGACAATCCCACGAAAACTGTCAGTTGGAAAATCATTTTTTTTTTTTTTTTTAAATTGCTCATTATTTCACTGACAGTGTCGCATTATAAGCAATCGTTTTATGAACAAATTAATTTTTCAGCTATTTCCATTATTGAGATCATGGGGAGCCACGGGCCTGCTGCTAGAGTGGGAAGATACATTTCCGTACAACAGAGAGCTCACCCAGATTGGCAGCAACGCCCTGAGAAACCTGTCAAATGGATACTCTGTTCAGGAGGCACGTCAAATTTTACAGATAGCTGGGGACTCTGGCCTTACTGTCATGCCCCTTGTTCAGACATTTGGTCACATGGAGGTAAAGTGAATTCATTTATTTTTAATTACATAGTCTAGGCGAAAATAATGAAGATTGCGCTGACAGAAAATTTGATTTTTTTAGTTTGTTTTGAAACACGATGAGTGGAAAAACCTGAGGGAAGTGCCTTCTTTCCCCAGCTCTATGTGTCCTTCAAATCCAAGATCTCAGCCTCTGGTCAAGGCTCTGATTAGGCAAATAGTAACGTTTCACCCGGATATTCAGTATTTGCACATTGGCGCGGATGAAGTGTGGCATTTAGGCTTGTGTCCAGTGTGTATCAAGAGGGCAAGTGCCAGTAAACACGGGAAAGCCTCTCTGTTTCTAGAATACGTTCTGTCGATAGCACAATTCATCAAAGAAACTTATCCATTCCTCAAAATTGTCATGTGGGATGATATGCTTAGGCCGATGAGTATACAGGTTTTAAATGGTATACTTGCAATGTTTAATTTTTCATGATAAGCTGTACAGATATTAATTGATTCTAAAATGTTTTAGAACACTACATTGGAAAATATGTAGAGCCGATGATCTGGCACTACAATCCTCGAGAAAATTTTTCCCTACCTCCAGGTATGAGATACCATAGAAAATATTTTTTCTTTAAAAAAAAAAAAAAAAACAAGCGGTTTTGCGAGTAAAAACATGTATTTTAGATATTTGGGACAAATACGGCTCGATATTTCCGCACATATGGGGCGCGACAGCCTACAAAGGAGCCACTGGCTCATGTCAACACATTCCCACTATAAGGCACCACATAAGCAATCATGAACGATGGCTAGAGGAGTTGAGCGTAAACGTTGGCAAAATCAACGAATTTCGAGGAATCGCCTTCACGGGATGGTCAAGGTTGGCATACATATATTTTTATTTGGTTCCAAGTACAAAAATACCCAGGTATTCATCATCAGTGAATTTTGAATTCCCTGCAGGTACGATCATTATGCCACAATGTGCGAGCTTTTGCCTACGGGAATACCATCGCTAGCTCTGTGTATGAAAGTTTGGCTGTATGGTTACACCGAACAGACGCACAATCAAGTCGCAAAGAGTCTGGGCTACATCGAACATCCGTTGTACGTGACTCCGCAGCCGAGACCTATTCCCATACCGAACAATTTGCTGTTCCCCGGCTGGCAGATCGCCGTGGGCATCGAGTGGTTTTTAAATTACAAGACGAAATTTCATGGTCTTGTCTACAGCGAACAGTAAGATTCGAAACTCTCTTGCGACCACATGAACACGTTGATTAAATCAAATATTATTAATTCGATTGGGCATTTGCAGAATACTCACGTGGATGAACAAATGGCAGGTGTCAAACAATTACACCAACCCGATGCAACTGGAAAGCTTGATCCCGGCATTTACCGAGTGAGTCGAAGTATAGTGAAATCGATAGTTTTTTGACAATTTGTTGGAAAAAAAAAAAAAAAAAAATCGCAATTTTAATTTTCTTTTCAGCATGTTAATGGAACTCTCGGCTCTCGAGAATTACATGCGCGTGCAAATGGAAATGGTATTTTATACCTCGATGCTTGACGAGTGGATGGGATCGAACGTCCAGCCGATGGAACAAGAACTGACGAGGCTCAAGCAAACAGCCGAGAACCAAATTAAAATCAACAGCAGTATATAGGACTCGTATTGAAATTGTACCTGCGCCTGTAACGCGTGTACACTGTAAATAAATTATCTGTTTAGCGTGTAGATTAAAAGTACAAGTAACACCGATGATAAAAATATCGTCGTTAGTCTTGATGATACATGACTGAGGAAAAAAAAAAAATTAAATTTAGAGGCTTATTAGATCTGTGTCAATAAGTGTGAAATATAATATATATATATAAATGTATAATCNAAAAAAAAAAAAAAAAACAATTGAACGTCTCCATTCTTATCGAAACACGCACAACCACACGCGCGCGCACTTGAAAAACTAACCGTTAATTTTTGTTTGTTTGTTTGTTCTTTTTAAACGACAATAATAACCGAAATGATCGAAATACACGCAGTAGTAGGCGTGCAGTCAACAACATGAAAGTTTCGGGGTGTCTAGAGAGCGATTGAAAAATAAAAGAAGGGAGGCGATATGTCGAGGCGGGACGACCTGCGGCTAGACAAACGCTTCGACGATCTCGTGCACCAGCTGAGGCCGTACGCCCTGAGACTCCAGTCGGACGACTCTCGACTCTGCCGGCTATGGCTCGACCGCCTGGACAAGGCCGAGGAGCAGCGAAACCTCAGAAACGAGTACCTCTTCGAGTTGTACAAGCAGCTGAAGATGGGCTACCTGAGGCCGCCCTTTCACAAGCCACCCGAGAGCGGGAAGCTCATGCCGCTGTCCAAACTCCACCGACTGGTCTGCCTTTTACACACGCGTCAATGAACACGCGTGTATACTTGTTCTAAGAGCCAACGCTCCCTCAGATCTTAAGTTCGTCGTGCAACGAGTTGACGGAGACGAGCCCCGGCTCGCCGTGCCAGCCCCGACCAACGAAACACCTCACCTCTCCGGGCAAGCGGTCCAAGAGTCTCGTCCACCACGACAACGTTCGCCGTCGCAGCTTCATTCCCAAGCGATGCGACTCCAGCAGTCCAGCTCGCAGTGCCGTGGCCCACGGCTTTCTCTCGCCCACCGTTTGCGAACCGGACAACAGGTGGTGGTTTTTTTTTTTTTTTTTTTTTTTCATAGGTGCGCGCTTGTAAAAAGTGACGGGAGATCGGTAACGAAAGTTGTCGGCAGGAACCTACTGAGGACTTACAAGGAGCGGATCGAGACCCTGGGCACGATAGTCGAGGAGCTGGAGAGCCAGAACAACAAGCTCAAGCAGAAGCTCGACCACTACCACAAGAACTCGGGCGGCCCCGACGAGGTGGCCCAGCTCTACGCGCGCATCAAGCAGCTCGTCGCCGAGATCGATACTCTGAAGAACGAGTTGGTGGTCTAGTGGATAAATACTCGGGTGTACACGGATATCGTTTTATTTCGTTTGAACGTCAAAAAAGGAAACGTCCATCTTTCAGGCTGTCCAAGGTAAACGACATCAAGGAGAAGCTGAAGACGAAGCACAACGAGATCGTTGAGAGGTACAAGGCGCAGATGAGCGAACAGGTCGGGGTGATGAAGCAGCAGCTGGACGGCGCGCAAGGGGAGAACCGGGAGCTTCGCGACAAGATCGCCGAGATCGAGCTGAAGTTGCAGGAGGCCGCGAAAGAAAACGTGGGTGGTGCTGGCGGACTTGGTTGTTGGTTTTTGCTTCTGACCGGTTGTTTTTTCAAAGCAGGAGATTGTCGCCAAGTCGAGCGACAAGGACTGGAAGGATAAGCTCGAGAGCGTGAGGGAGCAGTACGAGAGGATATTGGCGAAAAAGGAGGAGGAAATCAAGCGGAGGGACGAGCTGGTGCAACGCAAGGAGCTGGAGCTGGCCAAGAAGCTGGACGAGATAGAGGCGCTGTCGATGAAGATGAACGAGCTCCAGCAGGGTCTCGAGTCCAAGTCGCAAGAAGTTGATATAACACATGCGTTTTCTCGACAAATATGAGCTTGTTTGTTAAATCTACATTGTCCCTTTGGCTCTATCGTTACATAGGATAGCAGGTTGCAGTCTATGCTCCAGGATCAGTACAACGAGATTAAGGACGAGCTGATCAAGATGAGGAGTAACATTGAGTCGTCGTCGCTGAAACAAAACGAAAATTACCATCAGCAGATAAGCGTTTTAATGAAACACGTGGAGAAGCTGAAAAATCACACGCGCAAACTCAAGGAGGATTATAATCGGAAAATTTACCACATAGTCAAGGTGACGAGTGATACGCATCATGTATGTTTGTCAAATTGTCAACGTTGGAAGTTTTTTTTTAGGAAAATGAAAAAGTAGTGAGCGACCTGAAAATGAGACTGAAAGCCAAGTGCGCGAAACCGCTGCTGTTGGACAGGTACAACAACTGCGAGACAGATTCCGAGCCGGGGTTCGAGAGGAATTACAAAAAGTTTCTGGAGAACCTCGCCAAGTCGGCGGACAACCAGCGCAGCAAGTACTACGAGGTTTACGAGAACTCTAGGATATGAACCTTTAAAAATTGTATCAAATGCTTTATTTATCGATGACATATTTGAAATTATTATATAAATGGAAAGAAAAAATTGTAAAACTCCAGTGCTCTGTTTTTTTTTTTTTGGACTCTTTTTTTTTTTCTCTTGCAGAAGCTGTCATTCCTGGACGATCAGATCGGCTGCCACTTGCATCACCGCTAACTCATCGCACGAAAAAATAATTGTACACTGTTTAAGTTACATTTTATCTAAGAATAAAAATAAGTGTAATTCGTAAATCCAAACCTGATGCTGAACTTTCGGACTTTTTGAACCGCCATAAAATTAAATATATAAAAGCCGTTTAAGCCGTCCCCTGCGCGCATGTGCATGTCTCTCTCTCTCTCACTCTCTGTCACTCTGTGACTCTGTGACTTTGTCTGGTCTCTGGAGCGAAAAAGAGTCCAAGTCTTCAGTGATTCAGCTTCGAGCTCGAGAGAAAGTCGCGAAAGTCGCGGCTCTTCTCTCCTCTCGCAAACTCCTCGCAGAAAAGGTAGAGGTCCGAAAGAAATAGGAATAAGTATATACAAGCACTTGAGCAGTGTGAACCCAACGCACACCTTTTAGTGTAAGGGTTTATTTATAAAAATGGCGGACCAAGTGCTGAGGGAACTGGAGGCTGCTGCACAAGTTATTTTAGTAAGTTTTCGCACAGACGCTGGAATATTTTCATTCGCCCGAAAACACTGCGAGTTCGTTGATTAATAATTTTTATCGAGAGCGCCGTTTGTGTGTATGGCACTTGTCTCTGCACCCCCGCCTTTTTTTTAAGGTTACGTAGCGCACGTAATATAGTGTACGATAAATGTTTTTGTTGATTTTGAATGTGTCGGCTCGGGTGATCACGATTTGTTGCTGGTAAAATTTTTGTTTGCCTGCCTGTGTTTTTTCGGGAGAGTTTGGGGTGCGCTGTCACGGAGGAGATAGCCGCGAACGACACTTTTTTTTCGGACCTGCTGTTCGCGACAGGTTTTTGCTCTTTGGGATCGTTAAATTTGTAATTTTGTTTCTGTAAAAATGTTATTTATGTACTCTCCTTGAGGGTTGATTCGATTTTGTTGCTCGATAGCTATTGGATGAGTACAAATATCCAACCTTATGTTGCGATTGTGGTATTGGTCTTGCATAACTTGAGTTGTCCCAGTGATGTTTGATGATAATTGTGCGTTCTTTGATTAGGCACCGCCAAATCTAGTCACTGCCGAGCAGAGACAATCAGCAGAGGCAGTATTTCTGAATTTTCGCAAAACAAAGTCACCCTATCAGCTATGCAGGGAAATTCTGGAAACCTCAACGATGGACTACGTCCTGTTCGAGTCGGCTGGTGTGATCAAGGCAGCCTTGATCAGAGAGTGGACTTTACTGCAACAGTCGGACATTCACTCTCTCAGGCAGTATTTGCTTCACTACATTATCAGCAAGCCTACCCTGGCACCGTTTGTCAGGGAAAGAATCTTGCAAGTTATTGCCATCATGGTGAAGAGGGGTAGCGTCGAGGATTTGGGCGAGGAGAGGAAGGAAATCTTGAACGAAGTTGAAGGACTGATTATGGGCGGCGATTTGCCAAGGGTAAGAGAAATTTAACTCTTGCGACTTGATCGAAAAATTGATGTATTTTAAATATTTTGTTGTTTTCCAGCAATTGTTGGGGTGTAGCATAATATCGGCTTTGATTCAAGAGTATGCAACCACTGTGAAATCGTCTGACGTTGGTTTGACCTGGGAAGTGCACTTCAGAGCAAAGAAACAATTTGAAGTGACATCGCTGAAACGAATATTCAAGTTTTGTGTACATGCACTTGGAGAATTGACAAAGGCTGAGATTCCTGAAACTATTTTGCCTTTAATTAAGCATTTGCTCTCTATATGTGAAAGTGTGTTAACATGGGGTTTCATCTATGTTTTCCTACCCAAGAGACTGATAGGAATTTTCGAGACAGTCTACGAAGCCGACAGCAGTCCAACGCTTCGACTTACCACGATGTGGAGGGACGCGATCCTCGACGAAAACGTTATACAAGTATTCTTTAACGTCTATTGGAAAGTTAGGTCTAATCCTCAGCTAGGCCATCACGCTAGATGTTGTCTAGTCCAACTCGCAAGTCTCAACGGTGCTATAGTTCATAATCCCGATGTAAAGCTCAAGTATTTGATGGATTACGTCCGAAATTTTCTCAATCTTTTGTCGAACATCGAAGTAATCGACCAAGAGGCTATTGGTATCGCAAACATCTTCAAGAAAGTAATTATAAACTTTAAAAATACGTTCAACGGCTTGCCAGAGGACATGCAAAGATCGTTCATGGAACACATGACGCGGCTCACCTGTATGTTTGCTGAAGGTGCATCTCAAGAAGAATCTGTAAGTATAATCTTCTACGTCCTTTTTTTTTATGGCTGACTCATAAATTAAATTGAAAATTCGATTGAAGGATCAATTACCTATTTTTTCATTGTTAATTCAATTAATAATTTTTTCGCCATGATTTTTCACGCAGAATGTCACCCCCTTCGACCTGTAAAAGTATTTAGTTAGGTAAACAATCTTCCTATATCTATAAAATCACGAGTGTGTGTTTGAAATTCACAATTTAAATATATATAAATATGACCTGTAAAAAAATAATAATTTCGCCCACAGTAACTTCTTTCTGATAAACGTTATTTAGAAACGCAATGTTAAAAAAAAAAAAATTAACTAAATTTTCTTACAGATGTGCACCGACGATTGCATGTACATGGAGGCCTTTGAAAGTATGTTGGAAACATGGATATCATCCATGACGGATTCCGCGACGCCAATTTTTCCCGTTGAATTGAGCAAACACAGTTGCATTCAGATCTTCAACACTTACTTGCAATTTCACTTGTCACCGCCGGATGGAACACGTGGAGCTGGCGGTAAAGAACTCAATAACGAGGAGATCGACGCCAATGAGGAAGATGATCGCACCAAGTTCAAGGAACAGCTTCAAATCATTGGTTCGATCAAGTTTGTTGTACATTAAAAACATATTGTAAAGAAAGAAACAAAAGCTGTACCCAATAAATGTTTATTTCCGCATCTTAGGCAATTTCGGGAGACAGGCTCTGAGCCACACGTTGCCGTTACTCTCTCGTTTATTGGAGGACCGAACGAATAAATTGAGGGCCCAGTTGAATCGGCTTGTCGGTCAACTCAACATGACAGATCTCACATCCGTCGAACATCTGTACGAGGACCTTCACTGGCTTGTGCTCATAACCGGCCACGTACTGTGTATGGAGTCAGATGGAGAAGTACCTCTAATACCTTCAGAAATAATGCTGTACAGCATGGAACAGGTGCGTACGGCAAAAAAGTACTCGTATGTAAAATTTAAAAACAACCCATATTAAAGTAAAACACTTTGCTTACAGGCACGACAAGGCCACATGGATCTGAACGTAACGTTGGAGCTGCTAGCATCCCCGCAGAAAGATGTGACAGAGGTGAATGGAGCTGAGCAGTCGGCCGATCACGTTATCCGGTTGATCTCAGCAGTTTACCGACTGAGCGAGATCGCCAAGACGGCGATAAACTACAATGCCGCCCAGCATCTATCGCCCGAGCTTTGCAGTAGCATAATTTGGTTCCTTCATCGCTGGTCTCTCGTTTACCTGATGCCGAAGGAGAGTACTTACGCAGAGCTCAGTACGACCATTCTCCAAGCTTTCGGTGAGGACACACCAGGGTGTGCGTGGACTCTTAATTTTCTCGTTGAAAAGATCGAGTGCAACATTAACGCATTCAAAGGCGAGCCGAACCTCATCAAAGAGACTATGAAATTGCTTAGTACACTCGTCGACACACCAGAAAAGTAATTGTTACAAACATTTGTGCTCTATTGATAATTTGCAACATGCGTATGTTATATTTTGTATTTTTCAATGAATTTCAGAACCTCGTGCCTTATAAAGTCAGAGCGTTTCGGCAATCTCGTCGAATTGTCGAAGTCTCACGAATTGCCACAGGCGGCCAAGCGGGGTCTCATGAAGGCAATCATTCAGGTTAGCGTCGTTCTGACTGACAATGAACGGCTCCAGCAGTACTATGGACAAGTGCTTCAGCCGCTTCAGGATCGCTTCAAGGGTATTATTTGCCACGCTGATTTTCCACGCAACTATCACCAAGAAGAAATTCGCGTTCAAATCATAGACCTACTCGAATCGTTTATAGGTCAGTAGTATTTTCAAGTTTTTTTTTTTTTTTTTTCTAGTCTAATAAAATTTATAACAATGTTTGTTTACAGGGGTCGCCCAGGGTATATCTAATACTATAGTTATACCAATTTCCCAGTACATTTATACCATATTGAGCGAATGTCCACGACTGCTCACCTTGTATAATAATTACCAACAGATTGTGCAGTTGATAATCGAACTTTTCTACGACTGTTCCAAAGGTCTGATGCATTTCTTGTCAAATGTCAATAATTTTACTGAACTTTGTCTACAAATGATGCAGGTAATGTTGCTTGTTGAGTGAGTATTGAAAATCTCGTTTGAGAACTAAAAGTTATCAAATACCACTTTTTCCCCAGGCATACGCGAACTGCAATCGTAATCGATTGACCACTGACACGACGGCAGAGGAAGATTCCTTCCAAGACGTGTTACTTCTTATGAAGTTGTTGACGTCTTTGTTAAGCAGAGATTTCTTGAACTTTGAATCCAGTACAGAACCCGCAACTGGTCAAAATCACTTGGGAATGGCCGCCGACGTATTCTTCTATGGGCTAAATATCGTCATGCCGTTAATGACGATAGATATGCTAAAGTTCCCTTCGTTATGTTTACAGTAAGTTTATTCGTATTATATAGTATTTATCATTTTTCGATAGCGTTGATATTAATCATTTAATTATATTTAGGTATTTCAAAATGATAACATACGTCTGCGAAATCCATCCGGACAAAGTAATCTCATTGTCACCAGAGCTGTTGCAACAGTTGTTGATATCAGTAGAGCTTGGCTTATTTTCATTTGGGCATGAAGTGACTATGCACTGCTGTGATATAATTCAAGGAATGGCCAAACACATCTACACAGAATGCGAAAAAGGCCGGCCGAAAAGTCAGATCATGGCTCCCTTCATGAACGTTAGTACCTTTTTAATAATTTTGTTTCACATATATATGAGTCATCGTATGAAATCAACAAATGTGTGTTGATGCTTGCAGTTACTGATGAACCTCATCATAAATCATCAAATAAACTCGGACCTCGTCTCAAACACAAGTCTACCTTTGTATCTACTGATCTGTTGTTACAAGGAACAGTATCAGCAACTTGTTCAGCAGCTAATAAGTGAACAACAGGACCCGGCGACTGCCCAAAGGCTTGCCGAAGCCTTCAACGAGCTCACCCCCGACGTTCCGCTCAACCTCGACCGAGCCAACAGGCTAAAGTTCCGTGACAACTTCGACAAATTCATCGTCAACGTCCAAGGCTTCCTTATTGTAAAGTAAGATGACTCCACGTTCTTTGAGAAAGCTTTTCAAAAAGTCTACTTGGGATAAATTTTTATGTTAAATTTCGTGAGGATTTATTTTTTTATCACTTCATCGATTTCGATTTTGATTTAAATGATGTTAAATCTTGAATGTTGCTTATTTCGGAAATATTATCTTCGATATACTTGAGAATTTTCCTTGAAGATTTTTCCATCCTACGATTCGTTTAAAAGCGAGAGTAAATTTTCAATATTAATTTTTTTTTTTTTTTTTATGTAAAAATGAATACGTACTGTATCGAGACTATAGGAAGATTTCCTACAAGTTTGAAAAGTCTTTGAAGTCTTTGTTTGCGAACTGAGAGGTTTGCGGCCCGAGCCGAAGGCGAGGTCCGTAAGGAGGTTCGTAAAGAAGACTTCAAACGAGTATCGGAAAACTGCTTTTTTGACCGAGGAAGTACCAGCCTCTCAAAACCACCCGAGGGCGGAAAAAATTTTTATGCAAGGTCCAGTTATTTGATGTATCACGCAATCTGTTCGGAGAGTTGTAAATAAATTTGATAACACCAAATTGGTACATAACGTTATTGATGTTTTTTAATTACGCACAAAGAACAAACTATTATAGCTATCGAAAATGTATAAGTTTTACGAACTTCTTCATCAATTACTAAGATAAATCTATTTAAATCAAATAAGTATGTCTTATCTACATAATTATGTACAAAAAAGCCTTAAGACTGTATACAATTTACAGTTATAAATGTACATAACGAAATTAATATTATCATAACATTTATTCGTTCATAAATAAACGATTGCTTAAAACGCATCTTATTATAAATCAACTGAACTCCTGATAAAAAGTATTAGTTCACTCCCCTCTTATCAAGCTTGTCTCACGAAAAAGCAAAACTCAAAGCTCTCAATGTCTCTAATGTATATTGTGTACTTGTAAAATATTAAAGTTAAAGCAAAAAAAGCGAGCCAAACAGGATTAATATGATATCCGGAGAAACGTATGACACAATACGATACAGTATGCTTACATGTATATTGACTAGTCAAACCTGTGATCTTCGGTGAATTTGCGCAAAAATCAAGTTTATCGATCAATTTTTTTTTTTTTTTTTTTTTTTTTTTTCTCGTGATGCTTTTGATGCGACGTTAAACCGAGAGTCGGTGACTGGCTTGGGTTTTTATATCTTTCTGTTCACACAATGTGACTGCTATGCACGTCACAGTCTACCAGTTAAACTCGCTGATGTGTTTGTCTTTGTCAAGCTTGAGCTATTCCCATACTCGTTAGGAATGAAATGATTTTTAGCTAAAGCTCGCAATTCTGTAAATCAATGTAATTATTGCCAACTGTTTGCATTGCTATACTAATGAAAGTGACGATTCTGCAAGTCGATCAAGACATCGATTTTTTTAAAGAGAATATTAATATTGAATCTACATTTTTCTAGTAATAATTAAATGTTTCAGATTAAAGTATGTCTCACTTTGATTCAGTGTTATTTTTTCTTTCAAAAAGTATAAATTACTAATAACTTATAGATTAGTATCTATGTACTTGTATTTTTTTACACAAATTTTGAAAGTATCCACCTTGAAGGAATTAATTGAATTTTCATAAATGAAAACTTTAAGACTGCATATTTTCAACTAGCTAATGAAATAAGAAATGTAAAATAATCGTACGTATGTGTGATAAAACGCATGTACATTTAAACGATTCATAAACGTCGATATGTGTATATCACCGAGTTTAAGTTTTCAACGAAAAGCTCGTTCCTATTTACAAAGAGAATTTTTTTGATCTTATCTAGTAACACTTTTTTTTTGCAATTATTACGTGCACAACGTGGTGCTGCTTTTCTCTGTTTATCTCTCTATTTTTACTTTAATAAGTAGATGTTCGTTTTTGAGTAAACAAACGCAAATTTTTCTCGCTTACTATCAAAAATGGGAAAATAAATGATGAAGGAAATTATAGAATGAAAAAAAATGACAGCTTTTCGATTGTAAATAAAGATATGTCTCCGAATGGATTAACACGGGGTAATGCCGTAACTTTAATGAAATGAACGAGTTTTACGATGTGTGCGAGTTTTATAAGAACATATTGATTGTTTGGTTGAAAAATTAAAAAGAGTTATCTTACCTGACCAACTCTGACACTGCAGATAATAATGCGTGCGTTTTTTTTTTTTTTTTTTTTAAGACATTTAACTGTTTTCCCTTAAAAATGAGTTTTTTTCTTTGATAGTGGTATTTTTGATGTGTTGCTACATGTTTAGCAAGTGGTGTTTGCAAGTTTGTTTTTTTTTAATGATTTTTAGCTAATCACTTTTTCTTATAGTTCATTCAAAGGTTCATCCTTTAATATTAGATTTCCCGTATGAAAAAAAAGTTTCAAATTACAAAAAAATATACTTACATCTTTATATACATCAGTGTTGTAAACAACAGAATTTCTAATGTCAACGATTGATTGCGCGTCTGCAGTGTTGAACAAGCAAAAACAAATTGTTTCGTTGTGTATAGCGTTGTGTATAATATGTACGTTGTAAAATATCCGTGAATCTTATTATAAATATTGATGCTACGTTTATCATTGTCTTCATTTGCATTTTAAAAACATTTAAATCACGAGAATTTTTAGGAAGTAAAATTGAGTTTAACTCAGCAGTTATGCAGCTTTAAATTTTTTTTATTTGCCTGTTCTTTCTACATTTATGTACTGAATTTTACTACTCAAATCGTCGCCTGCATTTGTATATCTTATTTAGTAGTGTTGTAATTGCTCTAATTTGAAAGAAGTCGTGAATTTATTTGTTTTTTAAGTTTGATGTATTTTTCATTTGTGTTTTCGAGTAAAATATTAATAAAACTGTTTATATTGATTACTTTAACTCGATGGCTATACATTTGAGTTATACCAACAATTGATAAGAAAAATTTTACCATGGTTATGTTGTAAATTTATTAAAGAATATTACAGACTGAAAAAACTTTAAACATAATAACAATCAATCAATAAATCAAGACTTATTGAGTTTTTTGTTACAAAAAATTTGTTTTTGTTTGCAAATCGCTATTTGTTCAATTTATCTGATCAATTCTCTTCCTTGCTTTTACATTATTTTCGATTTACCTTCAATTGCATCGATATACTTATATAAATACATGTATAAATAAATTTTTTCTTTGAAAGAAAACATGTCAAAAGTGGTGCCACAAATTTTTCGATCGTGACAGGCAACTGCGATTGCTTTTGCTCAAATAACTTGGCAAAAAAGTAAAGATGAAGCAATTTACAATGAGGTACAAATCACGTTTATTGAAAACAAGGTTTTCAACAAATAATACGTAAAAACTAAATGTTCTAAGTAATGCATAGAAACAATTGAAATTAAAAGTAGTTTGTAGGACGAGCATCTCGTCTTCACTCGCTTTCATAAGTATTGCTTGTACCTAAAGTAAATCCTTTCTTTATCTCACTTTTTCTCTCTCTTGTCTTTGTCTGGTTTGTCTGGTTTTTCGTAAATATTAAGAGGAGTTGTAAAATAGTAAATGAATGATATTTTAGTGCTGAATGAACGATTTACAAAGTATTGTACAAATTATAAAGTTTAATAATAAATGACAAATGTATAAAAATATCGTGTTATCATTCAAACCTACACTTTTTTTTACATTTTATGCAATGTAAGCGTGCATTGCTTTTCTAAGGAGTATAATAGTAAGTATATGACATCAAAAATTTGGTTTTGAACTTCTGGATGCTTAAATTTTTATAGTTTTACATATTCACACAACGGAAGTTTTTTAAATTTGAGTTTATATAATATTATAGATAAATTTAAAATAAATCATAGCAAAATTTTCATGGTTTCAACTGTGAAGTACATGATATCAACCCCATACTAAATTAGACCTGATTTTACCCTTGTACGTGATAACCCACCCGCGCAAACTTGCGGGATTTGAGTAGTTTCTGTATGCATACATATTTGTTTTGAAAAAATTGTAACGACATATTAAATGAAGTGTGTTCACACTGTGGCGATGATCTAAATTGATAATATTTAACTTGTTTGTTCTTTCAAAAGAGAAAAATAGACAAAAATTTGTATTTATGGATCATGGAATATACAAATATATAGAGCAATCACAATATGATTTAAATCGCCCGAGGCGCGTCAAACGTAACTAGTATAAGAAGGAAAGGAAAAAATTTCTGCGAAAATGAGTATACCTTTGCAGTCGCTGCTCCTCTGTGGGTCCGATGCAACAAAGTTTTAAAAACCTTTATTGTTCGAGGCTTGAACTGCAATATGTTAAAAAATAAGATGGAGATATTGAATATTCAGAGTTTGGTAAAAAAAAGGAAACATGTAATATGCGTACGTAAGTACGTGTGTATCAATTGTGCTTCAAACGTTATTCAGTGAACTTTGATTTTAAATGTAATTTAAAAAATAAAAAATGTGTTAACATAAGATTTTTATTATACTCATACAATAAATAAAATTTTTCTTTATGTTTACTATTTTTTTTACATTAAATTGCGTGTTTTTATTACCAACACAAAAGCCTCAAAATACTACCTGTGTATCTGATTCTTTGATGTTTTTTCTGTTAAATTGAGGTCCAAGTGCACCCGTCTTTTTGTTAAAATAAAGTTGTTAATACCGATTAATTTCAGCCAAATTGATTTATTTACGTTTGACTTTATGTAATTCATTAACATAAATGATTCAAAATTATAAAATTTCAAAACTTTCTTTTAAAAATCTTATCTGATAAAAATTGTAACTATATCAAATAATTACCATTGCTTATTAAGTAGATGTTTTTTAGTGCTATATTTACAAAAGAAGGCTCGAAAAAAGATATAGGTTGGAAACGAAGGGGTTTTTCAAGAAAAAACAAAATGAAAAAATATAGCCATATGTTTAAACAAATCATTGTATAGTAATTGTAACTATATTAAATAATTACCATTGCTTATTAAGTAGCTGTTTTTTAGTGCTATATTTACAAAAGAAGGCTTGAAAAAAGATATAGGTTGGAAACTAAGGGGTTTTTCAAGAAAAAACAAAATGAAAAAATATAGCCATATGTTTAAACAAATTATTGTATAGTAAAAAATTTTTTTTTCAATATTATAAATGAATAGTTCATTAATGTTATTTTTTTTAACAGAATCGGGAATAAAGGTGTTTTGTCTCCTTCAAGTTGCGTATAAGAAATAACCGAAAATTTGATCGAATTAAAATAACGGACGAATCTATGGAATTTTTCCTAATTTTGCGGGCGGGGGGCTAAAGCTGCTGCAGAGGTTCCTAATATGGAGTGGGGGGTAGTGAAGGGTCTTTAAGGATAGTGAGGTGACGTGGGGAGTCACGGAAAAATAATNAAAAAAAAAAATAAAAAAAAAAAAAAAAAAAAGTATGAACACGCCAGGGGTCTGACTCCCAATTTCACTGGTCTCAGCGAGCGACTACGTTTTTTTTTCGACATTACGTCGTAGCAGCTCAAGCCAAGCCTCTACACATTGGTAGGTCCTCGGGTAGGTCAGAGCTAGTGTGCACACAACTCTGACGACTGAAAAGCTAATTCGGCTATATATACTAACCAAGTACTTTTTTCGCCACTCACGGGAACGGCACCGGAGCCACGCGGTTGGAGACGGAATTATAATAGCAGTGTTGTCTATCCATTGTCGGTAACCGCTAATAGAACGCTGTAGTATACCTATATGTGGTAAAAAAGGCGATAGGTACATACATATAAACTCACCTACGAGGCCAAACATCAACGGCCAATCAAATCGCGTTTTAAAACAGCGACGCATGACTTTTTTTAAGGGGGGTTCGGGAGTGTGTCTTTCATATGACCATAGTCTTAATTAACTAATCACACAGCGAATTAAAAAAACCTCAGCCATGTGGCAATCAATCTATTTTTTGAGATAGGATATACTGACCATCACTGCCGCATAGTATTTTGAGTCCCGTTTTAATTGACTAAACAGAGATTGTGATTTTCGTCTTACTATCTCTTGTGTTTTAGTACTATTGCCGTTAAAGAAAAAAAAAAAAAAAAAAAACTCAAATGTATGATTTGCGTAACGCTAAGTTGATAAATTGAACAAAAGAAAAAAAAAAAAAAATCAATTTCGTCTGCGACTGAATCAAGAAAAATTATTTCCACACTCTCCTTTTTTTTTAAAATTTTTTTTTAATCTCCAAGTTATATATTATAAGTAACCCCGTACTATAAATATCAATCAATTACATTGCATATTGTATTAAAAATTTCCCTCGTTAACGCGGGCAAGCGGAAAAAAATAAAAATTGACAAGTATATAAGTACAGGTATACAGTCGGGGAGACGTGCGACAACGTCGTACTCTTTTGTTTTTTCGATCCGCGGACGCTGGGAAAAAAAAAAAAAAAATAACATGTCCTAGCCTATATGCACTTTGAAAGAAAAAAAAGTAAAAAAATCATTTCACACCGCGCTCTGTTCGGTACACCGACACCCTCGACGACAATGCGGCCTGGGAAGAAAGTGCTCTTCTCCAAAGTATCAACGTCACGCGGCTGATCGCGATGTGCGCCCCGTTTCAGACCAGTTAGTTCAACCTTTTTACCATAAATATTGTGTAAAAAAAAAAAAAATAAATAAATAAATAAAAAGTTTGCAACATATACACGCGACTCGTAGAGTACAAGGTCCTGGAAAAGATCGGCGAGGGATCTTTCTCGGAAGTGCTGAAATGTCAGGACCGACAGACCGGCGTACTGTACGCCGCCAAGCGTCTCAAGAAGACGTACCAAAAGTGAGAAAGCGCGCATAGTTGAAATGATGGCACGTAAAGTAAAAAAAAAAAATAATAAAATAATCGTCCAATCCGCAGAGTAGAAGAGATTTTGGAGAGCCCCGAAGTGATGGCGATGCGAAAAATCAGCCGCCACCCTAACGTACTCCACATGGTTGAGTCACACTAGTAAGTGATCGACAAAGCTTTTCTTTTATAATACTCGTCGCTCACTACACGCGCATTTATGTATAATATTTAGCGATACGGACGGACGCGTGACTCTTATTTTCGAGCTGATGGACATGAGTTTGTACGACCTGATGAGAAATCGGATGGGGTAAACGAAGCAAAAAAAAAAAAACAAAACAAAAAAAAAACGATGGATCGGCAATTAAAACTCAATGAAATTTATTTGTTCCGAGAGGCGTCCGATCACGGAGATGCGCGTGAGGAGCTACGTTTACCAGCTGCTCAAGGGGCTGGAGCACTTGCACAAGCACGGGCTCTTCCACCGGGACATCAAACCGGAAAACGTATTGCTGAAGGTTCAGTGAGCAAACGTATATGATATATACATGATGGTGAAAACGAAAGTTAAAAAAAAAAAAAAAATGTACATGCAGGGTAGATCGGTGAAAATCGGGGATCTCGGCTCGGTGCGCGACGTGTACAGCCGGCCTCCGTACACCGAGTACATATCGACGCGCTGGTACCGATCTCCCGAGTGTCTCCTCACGGGTGGCTACTACGGCTCCAAAATGGACGTGTGGGCCGCCGGCTGCGTCTTTTACGAGCTCCTTACGTACGTATCGCGTGGCTCTCCCTCCGACAATCGCTCACTTGGTCATCCAAATCCAGACTGGAGCCGCTGTTCCCCGGTGAGAACGAGGTCGACCAGATAACCAAAATACACGGGATCCTGGGGACACCGCACGCCCGGCTGATCGCCAAAATCCGACGGCTGTAACTATCATATGTTTTTTTTTTCTTCTTCGCGGATACGCGTATACGGGTAGACTCGATCCAAGGCGTTTCATTCGATCGTGGCGCTTTCGCGTCAGAGAAGCAGTAGGACGCGCAGTGCCGATTTTTACTTTCCCGCGAAGGAGGGCCGTGGCTTGTCTCGTCTGCTGCCCGGGATGTCGAGCGCCGGTCTCGAGGTGCTCGAGCGCATGCTCGTCTACGATCCGGAGAACCGGTCGCCCGCCAAGAGACTCTTGGATCACCGATACTTTGCCGATCTCAGGTGAGCATCGGTACAATTCATGGCTTTTTTTTTTTTTTTTTTTTTTTNCACTGCGTTAATTATAATTACACACGGACGCACACGACATTTTTTCTTTTCTTTTTTTTTTCAACATCCGTACTTTAGAGAAAGAGAGACCGCGAGGCAAACGAGAAGCTCCGTGTTGCCAAACAACCACTACAACGATCCCCGGCAGATGGTCCTCGCGTACTTTGCGTCCGATCGGCAGCGGCGACTGAGGGTTCGTGACTTTAGATCTGGTTACTTGGAAAATGATGGAGGGGGGGGGGGAAAAAAAGTAATCTTTCCTGTTTCAGCCGTTGAACACGTGCCAGTCGCAGATACGTTACAGACAGGTGCCGAACGGTTTGCCGATCGTGCCAAGTTGCGCGTCCGTCGACGCCAAGTGCTACGATGATTTTAGAAACGGCAAATGCGTCCGAAAACGCCAGAGTCTTCAGAACAACGTGCGCGTACGTACATAACGTATACATATACGCGTGATTTACAAAATTATATATTTTCTCGTATGATGGATGAAAAAAAATAACGAAAAATGCGATCGTAGAAAAAGTGGTACGACCAGGGTGCCGGGGAGTACACGAACGTGAGATACGCAGAGAAGAAGGTGAACGTGAAGCCCTACGCGGTGCAGGAGCGCCGGAGTTTTCACTCGAAGGATGGTAAAACCGATCGGGAGGAAAAATCGGTTTCCACCTGGTGAGACCCGATGGAAAATGTAGTGGTGGTCGTGTGGTTTATCGAAGATGTGATTGCAGGTCGAGCAAGTTGCCGCTCATCGGTGCGAGTAAATCCAACAAGAGCGTCATCTACTCGTGGAACGCAGTGGGGTACAATACGGGAGACAGCACTGCCAAAGTCAACTTGGCGCCGAGACCCACTGCCAGGGGTGAGAATTTTTTTTTGTTTTACGTGTGATTTTACACTGATGGTTTTATTTTTATTGTCTCTTGGTGTCTTTTAGTGCCGACGAGGAAGAGCAGCACGATCAAATCACCGGCGAAGAAAGTAGCTCGTCGCGAGACTGCAGGTAACGAATTGCGCTCGACGTCCTTCGACGCGGGAAAGCTCCTACCGAGGAAATGACTTTTTTTTACGGAAGATCTTTTTTTTTTATACGTGCTGTCTTGTTTATTTTTTATACAAAAATATATTTTGTACGTGATAGTGAAAGTAATAAACGTGCGTATGAAAAAGAAAACAACATGTAATACCACACAATAGAGCATTTAAAAAAAATATACTAAATATACTTCAACAAACAGTAAGATCGGTGGTACAAAATGGAACAACACAAAACAAGTTTTTTAACAAAAATAATTTTTATTGCAACAATATTGGTATCTTGAAGAAAACACGCAATTATTCACGTTATGTTTGGAAAACGAATGTTTTAGGAATCAACTGTACTGGATTTCGAAGGTTACTTTTTTCATCCTTTTTCTTTTTTTCGAAACGTGGGCATATTTATTTACATAACTGTAAACGTACATTTTTTTTTTAAATTGTATACAAAAATAGGTTAAAAGTAGAAAAGAGGTGCTTTCAAGTATACGCCACTCGTTCGCTCGTAATATAAAAAAAAAAAAAAAAAAAAAAAATCAACTGTAAGTGGTTGACCGAATCGTACTTCAAAGTAAAAATTATGAATCACCTGTCTAGGTTGAAGATTACTTTCTTCAAAAATTCACTGATACAATGAAGTAAATAATACTACTGAGAATACTTGTACAGTAGCAAGAGTTGACAATAATACAAAAGGTATATACTATTTTTTTAAATCTGATAAACGCAAAACTCATCTTTAACGGAGTCTCTTATTGCTTTTTCAAAACGGCCCGCAACAATCCTGGATTCACTTCAGAAAAGTAAATATTTCTTTTATCGAGTTCCTTGGCCACAGCAGGTTTGATTTTGCTTTTACCACTGGTGCTACGAGCACCTCTGCCTGTGATGATAAGGATACGCTTGCGGGCGCCACTGGCCATTTTCTCCAGCTGCGTATCGAGGTGAATATGGAGGGCCTCTATGGCTTCGGACACGCGCAAATAATGCAAATCCAATTTATCATCTGGATCGTTCAAGTACAGCTGAGCTACAAGGTAAGCAGATGCCGCCCTTTCGTTTTCTCTCTCCGCGTTTTTCATGTAAAGTTTGGCCACATCGGAGTAATAAGCCGCAACGTCGGGATTTTTTTTTCTATACGCTTCCTGGGCTTTGTGATAATTTTCATTCCTACGGTCAAGCTGCCTGCGCGCTTCCGCGCGAGCAAGGCGAGCGATTTGCATGGCTCTGCCGTAACTCATTTCCTCGTCGTCGTCATCGTCGTTATCATATCCGTAGTTGCGATCATCCTCCGCGGAAGCTCCTGCCTGGCTCAGCAGATTTTGGATCGGTGTGCTACTCTCCTTGTGCAATTCGTCAATTAAATTTTTTCGTTTTTTAAGCACGTCGGCCATGGTGATGCACGATTTCTGCTGAGGAGAATTTTCTTTCAAAACGTTGAATGTTTCCTCAAAATCTCGTTCGTGAGCTTCATAAATGTCCAATACTATTTTCCGGTCAAAGTCCGGGTACATCTCGTACAAGGTATCTTGTGTCACTTTTTGCTTAATCTCTGCTGGCAGCTGCTTTTTATGTTTACGGTTCTGCAAAAGAAAAGTTGTAATTTTATTAGTATGCACTTTTTAAACGAGAATGTTTTTTTTTTTTTTTTTTTTTTTTTTTTTTTTTTTTAAAAAAATTTTTTTTTTTTTTTTTTTTTTTTTTACATAAAGTAAATCCTTACATCGTTTTTATACGTAGCAAGTGCCATCTCCATGTCCATAATTTCCTTTAAATTGGGCACTTCCGGTCTCCCTGCTACATCATCAGGTTCATTAAGCAGTGATCTAGCATATTCGGCGTCTTTGGCGATCATTAAATCAAGCTGCTCCTGCATTCGCCAGAATTGCTGATTCATCGTCTCGATCCAGAAACCATGTAGTTGTTGAGCCATTGATTTTGGTATTTGAATGACGGGAAATATGCCGTCGTTGTCAAAATCACCACCACCAAACATTTTTTCCAGCTGTCTGATGCAATCGGATCCAATGTTGAGCTCGACCATCTCTTCGTCGTCGTCAATAAACGCATCTTCTTCATTAATGTTGGTTTTTTTTTCTACTTGCTTCTCTGGTTCTACCTCTGCTTGAGTATCCGTGAATTTGATCTCTTTTCCAGCAATCATCGTCACTACATCCGTCCCAGTGGCAACTTCTTCATCAAACGTCATAAAGTCTGGAACAGGCTCATCAAACTCGCGATTCTTCCAGCGCTTGATTTTCAAGACATGCTCGGGGTAGCTCTCCTCGTTCATCTGGATTTTCATCTCAAGTTCCTGCTTAAGCATCAATTTATCATCCGAGAGCAAGCACTTGCTTTTCTTGTTTTTCTTTTTCTTTTTGCTTCGCGTGTGTTTCGGCGATCCCGTGTTATCGTACGAGGAGGACTCCGAGCTGCTCGACCGCTGCCGTGCTCGTGTCGAAACCGGTGAATCGTCAAAACGGCTATCAAGAACAGGCTCAACATGCTTGTAACTTGTGATGTCTCCGGAGCAGAGATGGCTTATGTAATCCACGGCCCAATTGAAGTCTCGCGCGCATAATTTGTGATATACTTCCAACAGCAAGTCTTGAGGCAGATGGTGAAATCGTTCGAGGAACTCTTCGCTCCTGTCTTCTGGTTCAGTTTCATTTTCAAGATACAACGTGATGTCGGTACCAATGACACTCGTGCTGTTCGTCATTGAGCCCTTGTCCAACATAAGCTTTAGTGGTAGGTGCTGTGCTTGATCTGCAAACACGTGGAATTTAAAATAAACCAAGCTTTGGAAAATAACGGGAATGCTCAACTTACTGTTGATTGGCTGCACAGATGAATCGTTGATGCTCCGACTGACACCGTTGATGACCTTGTAGCCGTCGATTCCGCCAAGGTAGGCCACGTTGAAATCGTACGGATCCGTGTTAGTACTACAATCTGACATTTCTGGTATAGCCTCGGTTGTATTTTTCAGAGAAAAGTAGTTCGGATTCGCGCTGTCGACCGGGAAAGACGATTCAGTCCAATTGATTGGAAACGCGTTTTCTTCTTGGAGTAACGTATTTTGGGATGCGTCGTGAGAGGAAACTTTACCACCAAGTACCTTGTCTATAGGCTCTTTGGACACATTTTTTTCAAAGACATCCCAGGATTGCAAGTTCTGAAATTGTTTAACGTGCCAATTAGTCTAAAAAACGTTTGGGGGGGGGGAGGAAATTTGCGAGCCATACCTTCGTTTGTTCACTTTTAGATTTTTCTGGTCCGTTAGCATCAGAATCCTGTTTTTCAATGTCCTCTTCTAAAACCAGGGTCCTGCGTTCTTCCACAGAATCCAGCTGCTCGATCAGCAGAAAATTCGAACTGACATCCCGGAGCTGGGCTTCGATGGTTAAACTGCTTGCCTCGCTACCAATGACGTTAGATTCAAACGATTCCTTTTGTGGTACATCTTCGCTTTTACTTGCCGAAGTGGACTGATCAAAAGCCTTGGCGTTATCTTCATCAGTACTCTGCTGTATGGACTTATCCGGCTGTTGATCTATGACGATGATGGAATCAGCAGTCTGTAAATAAAATGTTTTATAAAATAATTTAATTAATAATTTTAAAAAAATTGTCTTTAAGTCGGCTCACCTCGTAAGAACTACTCTCCAAGTCCGACAAATCGTTCTTTATGACTAATAAGTTTTCAACGCTTTCAATATCTACGGTTTCGGCATTTTTCTTGAATTCTGGATCCGGACTGAGCTCAGTGTCACTCGAATCTAATGAAACTACGTCAACATCGGAAATTCTCTCGAAACTGCTGCCTTTGCTGTTGTTACTGCTACCATTATCACTCTGTGTCGGCGATACTTCCGGCTCATTTGTGCATGTGGCTCCTTTTGTTGCTTCCACTGTTTCAGAAGTTGTTTCGGGCTTATCTTTCGTAGTTGATCTCTCAGAATAGCCAGACATGCCATCATTTACAAAACCTGTTGGACCGGTGTTTGTTACCTGCTCAGCTGAATCCTGGGAATAAATAAATAATGCATTTTCAAATGCTTCATCGTTCTTAAACAAAATATCGTAGTTGGGAAAAATATTGATAAACAAAATCAAACCTTCATAGTCCAACAGCTACTTAATTTTACACCGTCGATAAGAACTGTAAATTCCTTGCACTTGGATAATATGGCAACTGTGTTTGCATCATCATACTGATCATTGTCTCGCAGACCCTCTGCATTTTTACCCACAGTTGCTTCCTCGATTTCGGTTTGATCGTCAGCTAAGACATTCGTCTTGTTGTTTGAATCCGTAATCAAATATGAAGGCTCTTTATTTTCATCAGCTACGGGCAGCGCGAGAGGATGGATTCTCTCACAGCCAATGGGACCTAATTTTTCTGCATTTGTCGAGTTGTTTTCCCTAAACGAACAGCCTGCAGTGAATGAGCTACTACCTCCACTTTTTATTTGCATTTCGGAATATTCTCGTGCTATGGTCTCCAAAGCATCACCAACGTATGGATTCTATTGTGGAAAAAAAAAGAAATCGTCCTGTCAATTATGTATAAAAAAAAAAAAAAAATGGCACTAAAAATCGTTCTTATTATTAGCTTGAATTCAAGTTTATTTATAAAAAAAATATAAATAGTTATAAAAAAACACACATACAGAAATATGTTTAAAACAGGTACAAGTCGATTTATGTGAGACAAAAAAACAAAAATACGATACTCAGTCGGAACGAATATATGTGATGAAAATAGAAAAAATAAAAATGAAAATACAGAACTGTTTGAACGAAATGTGCTCAAAAGTCCATAATTCCAGACTTGAATTTACCTCTGCTAGTCGTGCTTTGATAGCACCTGCGGTAGCCTTGGGCTCATCATCAACGGTAGTCTTGGGCTGTGCAGAAATATAATTGGACGCTTGGCTTCTTTGCTGAATCGTAGGCGTGGTGACGCAACTCTGGGCCTGGGTGTCTGGTAAACGCGGCCAGTGACGCAACTGCGGTGGTTTGTTGCGCGGCTTGTATTCGAGATTGGAAATCCTGAGCAAGCGATCCCCGCTTATGTTCCACTCGTAGCGGTTCAGCATCACCTGGATCTTGCTTCTGGGTACATTGTGGGTGTTCTTCTTTTCTAGCTCGTGAACCTTCCTCGCCCACGGGGTCTGCGGCTCCAGGATTTCTACGATATAGCCGTACTCCACCCCTGCCGCAGCGTATGGTTCCATCTCCCACACCTCGGTGTTGGTGTTGTCGATTAAAACGGGGCTTCGGCCTTCTCTCATCGCTTGACAGGCATTTCTTTGACAGTACTGATGAGCCTCCCTCAACTGCTTTGGGTCGTACTTGTAAACACCAGAACGCAGAAAGTAGTCGTCGGCGCTGAACACGTGGCTGTTGTAGGTGGTATCGGGCGTTTGATCTATAATGCTACGAGCTAGGTAGGACTTGCCACTACCAGGCACACCGCGCAATAAAATCAGAACCTTATAGCCCTTGTCGATTTCTTCTCTTATGCGTTTTAAGGCCCACGAATTGTCCGATTGTCGTGGTGGGAATGAAGGTGGCGAAGAAATTCCGGCATTGTCCATCATCCGTGTTAGGGTACTCTTGGGAGGGCTTTGAGCAGATGGAGTCGGACTGTTAACCAAACCAAAATATTTAGACTGCTCGGGTGTATTAGCTTCGGACTCGTCGGAGCTCTCGCAGTCACCTTCGACCACGACGTCCGCGTCGTCGTCGTCGTATTGATGCACCACACCCTTGGGGCGGTACTGCACCTTCAAACCACAGAGAGACGTGGTGCCGATTTTTTTGGTTCCTTCTGATACGTCTACATTCTCCGTGGCTATTCTATCTTGTTCGAACTTTGCAAATTTGTCGCGCTGTCTGTGTAGTTCATCTTTGTCGTCGGAGGATAAAAAATAAAGACTCGGGTCATGATTGATGTGAGTATCGTGATCCAAGTTTGTCTCTTCTTTTTGCTCCCATGGTAATGTTTCATCCCTCCACGGATCGTAATCTGGCTGTGGCTGTTCTAGCCCAGTCTCGGTCATTTTCAATAAAGCAGATACCGATGCGTCCACTGTAGTGGTAATGTAAATTATGTTTTTCAACAGTAATGAAAGAAAAAGTTGCAAAAAAATGTGATTTTATAAATACTTACAATCATATTGGCAGCTTTTTGCGACCGACATAAGGATTTCGTAGTCGAATGTCGATCCAAACAGGTCCTTGAGTTGATTGTAGCACTTAGCACCATGTTTTTTATTTTTCTTCTTTTCACTAGTACTTCTCTGGGGCAGAGAGCGTGAGTCATTGGCAGCCATATCTAAAAAAACACCGAGATAAGGCAATATTCTCTGGTACAGGATACAATTACAAGCATATAATACAAATTGAAGCCGTTTGTATGAGATTAAAATATATGAATACAGCAGGAGTAATAAAAGCTATTAATAAATAAGAATTAAGTTAATGATCAGTTATATTTTTGGCAAGTTGAAAAATTGTAATACAGATTGTCTTTATTATTCGTGAAATAGTCAACGTGGTATAGTAGTTAAATTCACAAAATGATATTAATAGGGAAATTGATAAGCCAAGCAATAATTATGCAATACCCAGTAAAAGAGTTAATTAAAATTAGATAATAACTATACCTTCTGATTTTCATTTTTTTTTAAACTTCAAGTATTTTTGAACATAAAAAATTTATTTTTCGTTGAAACCTACCAAGTATCAGCGTTCCTGTATTATATAGTTAACAATCACTCAACAAAAAATAACCCAGTAATAACAGACAGACGGTAGCATTTGTACTTCTTTTGTTAAAAAAAAAAAAAAAAAAAAAAAAGTAGACGACAACAATGACAATGAACTTTTACCTTGGCAGTGTGTCGACGCTTCCACGTAAACACTTGACGTGAGGAAAAAAAAAAGAAACCACCACACAGATGACGCGCACCTGAGGTGCTGGTAAACGTGCCACCAACAACAATGCCAGACTATTCTCTCTTTCTAGTTATATGCTTTCTTGGACCTGCACTATGTTGCAAAATTTTCTTTCAATGCAAATATAGCTCCTAAAATTCGTTACATCAGTGGCCAATGCAGTAATCGACAAAAGACTGAATGCGAATTCCGAGGTGATGGATGGCCGGATAAGTTCATGATAAACTATCAATCATCCCCCTGGAAGGTATTAAACGACTAAGTATGTAAGCTTAATTAGAAAAATGCAGTAATTGTAAATTCATCAACGTAAATAAGTTCTATATTCTATACAAGTTTTACATTCTATATAAGGTTTACTTCACTTTTCTTACCCTGTGGTTATGCTCAAGCTGAACACTGAACTGCATTTTTCATTTTATTTTATGAGGGAAGAGGGATTGAGAGAGAGAGAGAGAGAGAGAGGGAATCATTCCACCATTAGCAAAACTCCCCTTCGATGCCGATAACAACGGCAATGGCCTGAATGGCCAATGGCACCTCTGTGCTCTGTGCGCCACTGCCCATGTAAGAAAGTGCGCTAAATTTTAAAAATTTTTTGAAACAATTGGTTCTAATTACATTTCCAATCGTAAATAAATAATTTCCTTTCGGATTTGTCACGAAAGAAATGTTTTTATATGGAGTCCCTGCTATAAAAGTCGGATTCAAGTCGTTTTATGTCGATTCATTTTGGATTCCGACTAGCCAATGTTCGATTTTTTTATTGGTTTTAGAAGAAAAACCATATGAAAACGCATTGTTTTTTTCTGAGTTTTAGTTAAAAAATCGACCAAGACCAGAACGAAATACACCTAAATTAACCGAGAACCAAATCTATTGATTCATACATGTAGGTACCTTATTCCTACAGCTGATCAAGTTATAAATACATATTCATATTTATGCGTGGGTGTGGTGTGTGTTTTTTGGTGTTAAAACCTTGATCTCTTTATCCGTAGTCCTGTTGAATACGTTTTTTTTTCCTAAACATCAAAATTACGAAGTAAGGCATTTTATTTTTATTTATCGTAATCTCAGTTTTAAGAATGAAATAGTCTTATTTTATTTTTATAAACACGCAAGCGCGAGGCGCAGACATATTCCTATACGTCATCATCATCATCATTTACTTTCGTTTTTAGAGTATAGATTTGGTCACCGTTCGAAATAACGTAATATCTTATCGGTGGCCGTGCTGTCACGGCTGTTTGAGCTGATCAGATCACTTCTTGAGAGAGAGGAATATACACAACTTACAACAGATAGTTACAAATTTACAGCAGTTAATAATTGACAAGATGGACAAGCACAAGCAGTTGGGTGGTAGTTTGGAGCTTCCACCCTTGAGAAGTCTCGACGACTTTATTCTGGAGTCGGCGCGCTTTCAGATTCCAAATATCAAAGATCTCGACAAATGGGGCAACAGAGTGGTCAACAATTTACTCTACTACCAGACCAACTACTTCTTTACATCTGTTGTCATTTTTATTTGCGTTGGGTGAGTCGGGATGTTTACCTTTTAATTTAGCCCTTCTAACGTTATTTGTTCGATTCCTTCTGACTTGCGTTTGATACTATGTCTGACAATGATGTACTTCCTCTGAACAGGTTGATACACCCTGCTAAAATGATCATTGGAATGCTAGCAACAATGGTTGTGTTGTCAGTCTTTGCCTACATATCAATGGAAGGAAGGGCAGTGCACGCTTTAAAAAAGAAATACCCTGGCATCGGTATTGTTTTTATGCTGCTTGCAGGCTGCTTTTTGACCTACACTCTTGGCTCCCTGTTGGTCTTTTTCTTTGGTATTCTGTTACCATTTTCAGGTACTTGTGATTTAAATTGCTCCAATCGTTATTCATAAGAAGACAATAATTTTCTCTAAAAGTAGTATTATTTTCAGTGATATTTGCCCACGCCTCTTTGAGATTGAGAAATATTAAGAACAAACTAGTCAACAAGATTGAGGGGATTGGTTTGAAGCATACACCTATGGGTGTCTTTTTGGAGCAACTTGGTATGGAGCCTAATCTCTTTGATTAAAAAAAAAAAAAGAAAAAGGAAACCTTAATTTTTCTCTTAACTGCACATGGTCAATCATAAAAATAAAAATTGACAATATATACATTTTTATATATTGAAAAGCCATAAAAAAGCTATACATTATTTTTTTGCATCAATAATGATGAAGTTTTAGTTGCATAGTATTTTTCTACACTCATAAAAGTTGGATTTCAATCTGTTCTATACATACTTCTTTGAAAAATTTGAAGTTTACTGTGAATTTTATTATTGAAATATTTCAACAGATTCTTAGAGTATTAATAAACACACAGTAGCAGAGTAGATATTTATATCAATGAAATTTTCAGGGATCTATTTAGGCATGATTAAATACATCAATCTTGTTTTCCTATGATCGTTTGTGATGTACTTATATTATACATTTATACTAATCGAATGTTTATTTCATGTTATTAATTGATTAAATTTATTTTTATAAAAAAAATTTAGATGTGCGTAATATAGTGCACAAAAATATATTTATATAATTTATATTACTACAGTCACGACAGCAATAAAGTATTAACGAGAGTTGCTATCATGCAAATACATAATACTCATGCTAAAAATATGTAATTTTTTATCATAACTAGGCTGTGGCACTAAAAACTCTTTATATGTGCACATCTAGCTTGTAACTTTTATTAAAGTACCCTATAGATATTATATATCTCTCTTTCTGTGCAAATAAAAGTGTCCTTTTTGCTAAAATAGGGCTAGTGACGTAACAAACAATTTATTGGTGATGGAAAATTAAAAATATAAATGAAATTCTTTAATTGTTAATAAAATAAATCGATTAATATAGCGTTTAATCTTTATAAGCGGTTAACCCTTTTTTTTTTGTCTAATTTTACTTTTTTCCTGTTTTGGCTTCTATGGGCTGATGTTTAGAAGATATAACTGGTATGACCATGTCTGTTCGAACTGCTGTCACGCAAAAATTTCACTAACTTGGAAAGAGAGTGTACCTTACCAACGGGGAATACTATACTCGCAACGCTGCCACGCAAATCTTCCGGGTTACCAAAAAACCGGGTTTGTGTCGAAAAAAAATCAGAGACTTAACATCATTTTTCTAACATGTTTTCAATCATTTCATTATTTACCAAAATTTTTTTAATGAATTAAGTGCGAAGCAATCAGTCAAAAATGTCGTATAATATAAATTTTATACTCATTAACTCATGATTTATAAAAATACGTGTAAGTACTTTAATTGCAATCAAGACAAACTTTTGACTGCATGCATTGTTTTACATGATTTTTTATACATCGAGACGTAAATGTCAAGAGGATCTGACATGAAAATTATTTTTTTACATATTAAACCATCAAGATACGTAATATGAGCAAATTTTATGTTTTTCCTGTATTCTCGTAAGTAATCCTAGCATAATGATTTCCTACCTTTTATTTACGAGCCTAAATCATTTTAATATTTATCAAATTCCCACATCTGCATCACAAATTATAAAATAATTAACAAAATAATGATTTTCAAAATTAAATTGATTTATCTGAAATTGTATGTATACATATACCTATATAAAAATTATGGGCGATTTTTACAATTGATGTAATTTCATGTTAATGGACAAAAAAATACAGTTCTAGTCACAGAGTAGCAGTATTTGAAAACAATTAAATTGTAAATGCAATAGTGTATTTTATATACAATTGCGGTGATATTTTGTCAATATATTTACAAAAAATCGAGTAAACTATGACAATTAGCTTGGTTTTACTTAAACAAACGTGAATGAAAATTTAATTCCAGGATCAAATTCTCCTTTACTAGCACGTTTGTTGAGATTCACTGAGTTTAGAATAAGGTAAATTAAAATAAAACTCACTTAGTTTATGCCGCACCAATGTAAGTTTAGAAAGTTTTTATATTGAAAAAAGTTGTAGAGCCGATTGCAGGTCGATAAATCGACTAGATTTTTGTTATGAATACCGTATTGGCAGGATAAAGGATTGTTTCGGATAATTGCAGAGTTCTTGTAAGTTCGCCAACGTTCGTTTTAGGAAAAGGTATTAGATAACTATATTCCGAAGATTGGTACCCCATGTTTTCCATTCTTTTGATGAAACCCTGAAAATACAATTTTTATAAATTTTTAATCGAAAAAAGTTGAGATTCTCTATACTAAAAATTTACCTCTACAGTATTTGTCGCTGCTACAGATATTGTTTCTTTGCTGCCATTTGGCAGTCTGAGACAAACTTTAATAGAAGGACCACTGTCATCCTCGACTAGCTCGATGTCGTTTTGTTCTTGTTGCTGCTTTTGCTCTTTGGAACCCATTTCTTCTATTCTAGATCTCTTACTAATAAAAGATGTACTATTTGCCGATGTACTAATGACACTAGTACTAGGTTTTGATTCTCTATAATCCGAATTACTACTTTCAGCACATTTCTCAGATTCCCGAGATCTTTTTGTATTTGAAGGAATATTCTGAAAATTTGTATCATTAATAAAAATAATCCTTCAACTGTAGCGCAATAATAATAAAAGTATGTAAATTATATAGTACCGAATTAGAAACAGTATCACTTTGAAGACTATCTATGAAAGTTGTGATAGGAGCGGAATCTATGTTTTCAGGGGAAGCATGTAAACTGAGCATGTCATTCAGCCCTGAAACTAAACTGTCGACCGTAATGTTGTTGTACGCCCTCATACATTCACCCGTTCTTGGGTCAATAATTGCCAAGTAAGGGTATGTGTTTACTGTGTAAAAATCAATGTAACGTTTTCCATCAGCAGAATGTGAGAGAACCTGAAAGAATTTAAATTAATGTCGTAAAAAATCATCCACTCAGTAAATAAATGATAAGCAATACACTGAAATTGGATGCCTTACTTGCCACAAAACGAAATGATCATTGATGATGTCTCTTATTTGTGGGTTTGGCCAGACATCTCGATTTAAAATTTGACAAGCAAATTCTTGTTGATCTTGGACATTGACTATTAGCCACCTATTAATACTTTTAGCGTGTTCTCTGGCTTCCGCGAATGTGCCCCGGAACAGTATATCACATGGTGGTCTGAATAAATCTTCCAAGCACTTCATTTTACTACGAGAAGATCTTCTAGTACCAGATACTCTCTGTGTCAATTCTTCTTCTTGCCTCCCTGAAACGAAGTAAATAACAAGTTGAATTAGGTTGATGATTGGTCAAACTTTAATTGAATTGGAAAGGATCTTACTTGTTTCAACGGCAAAATCCCGGAATCTGTCAAATATGCTGTTAGGAGCCCTAGGAAAAGAACACGTGACGTCGGGAGGTACAAGCACCTCCTGAGTCGGGAGAATAGGCGCACGAATATCCGGCTCGTTTTCATTGTTTAATCTTGGCTCTACAGTTGGAGCAGCAGTTTCACTGCTGCTGCCACTTCCACCCGCTTCGAATAACAAACTTATAGCCGTCTCCAAATTTCCATCTGCAAGTGCCAAGTATTGAGCAGCTGTTGCTTCTCCTTCACCTAAAAATTGATTTCAAAAAGTGTTTTATTGACATATACATAACATCATTACCATTGTCACTGTGAAGACAATGTCGCGGTTCAAAAATCAACTGCCATGTGTGCACCTTCTGGAGTTGTATAAATCAATAGAATACTACAGTTTCTTCTCAAAAATATATCAACGAATTATGAAATAAAGGCAATTGCAAAGATACTCTAAACTACCGACGTAACCTGTGAACACTACCAAAAATTCTCATACTTAATGTTATCAGTCATGTCACCTGTGACTTCGATGAATTTTTCCACAAGATCCCGGTCCATAGTCGCAACTCGACGACAACGATCTTTAGGTCACTTTTGCCAGGATGTGCTGTTTTTTCTTATCAGGCCTTGATAAATTATTCTTTATTTTATACACGATCTGCTATTGTAAACCAGTCATATCTATTCTATACACTATACTATTGTAAAAAGGCTCCTGGGCTGTGGGCTCAGTGGGCTGTGGGGGCTGATGGGCTCCAAAAAGGGAAAAAAGCGAGCGTGAATGGTGCATCAGCGCCATCTAGCGTTGCAGATTATACACGATTACACGAACTATTTTCTAGGGGAATCGTCTTGAAAAAAAAACTCTAGATTTTAGGGTTTTCTGCTAGAAGTAAATCACTAGGTATACTTATTTATGGTAGATCGGCAATAGCTAGCACTATCGATACAGCAGGTCCGATATTTTTGTTGCCGTATGGACGGTTGGCTCACTCGCTCAAACTGCAGGTCTCACTCTGATCTCATGTCAACCGTCGGTACAACAGGGTTTGCAACGCTAGATGGTGCTGATACATTACACATTAAACCATACCACGCGGGAAAGTTTCAATTATTTTCTTTTTACACAGATCAATGTAATGGAATGTATGTAAAATATATGTAAGCATGTCTCCAGATGCACCCTGGAAAATGTATATTCAATACGTCACCAATAAAAATAAATTAAATAAAAACCATACCATACACACGATGACAAATGACAATTAACAACATAACAACTGGCAAATATAAAAAAAAAACCCACACACACCCGCGTTTACCAGAATCTCAACTGGGTTGTTGTAGTTTTTCCCTCTGCAATCGTTTTCCGCGATGCCTATCTCGATCATGAAAACAAAAGCAAAACAACTAAACAAAACACAAAATGTTTCGATGTTTCGTATGGATAAAATCATTCAAAATTTGAGGAATTGATAAAAATGTATTATTAATTTTTGTTTATGCCTATGTAAGTGTATGGAGTGACATTTTTCACTTACCAGAGGCTCTCCGTATTCTCCGACTGACATTAACATATAAAATAAATACCTTTTTTTGTAAACTATAGGTGTAAAAAAAAACAAGCAATTCATTTCACGCGCGAATCTCAATTTTTAAATCTACCGCTGAAAATGAAGGTTAGTTTTCTCCGCGCGCGGGTGCATGTGCACACACACACACACATATACTGCAGAGAGAGCAGAAGTGTTTGTTGTTGTTGTCCACTTGTCATTGTCGAGTTCCAATCTTTAAAGAATTGCATTTTAGTTGTTTATTTCTAAACATGTAAAGTAAGTACTTACGATTTTAGATACTTAAATCGTTGATTGATGTTAACTGTTGTGTACGAATTATTTACTCTTTTTTCAGGTTATGTGTACAGAAAAATGACAAATTTATGCAAGTTAAAAAAAAACTATTTCTAGTGTAAGAAAAAAAAAAGATTACTAAATAAACATGTCCATAAATAAAAGCACCTGTGACGTTCTGCTGTCTGTCGTTGACGACATTGAGTTGATAGCCAAAGAACTGATTGAAAATATAATTGCTCAAAAACATATGAAGCTCTCCACATCGGAGCATACAAATCTCATTGAACTTTTGATTAGAAAAGACAATGAATTGAAATCAATTCTAGTGAAAGCCGACGAACAGGCCAAGATCAACCTGAAAATGGAAGCTCTAAAGGCTGAAGTGGATCGTCAAGACCAAGAGATACAACAGCTACAGAGGCAGCTCAAAGAGGCCGAACAAATCCTGGCCACGGCTATTTATCAAGCAAAACAAAAACTACAGTCCATTGCTAGAGCGAATAAACGGCCCGTGCCCTCCGAAGAGTTGATCAAGTATGCCCACAGAATAAGTGCTTCCAATGCAATTTGCGCTCCTCTCACTTGGCAGCAAGGAGATCCTAGGCGACCTTATCCTACCGACATTGAGATGAGACTCGGTTGTCTCGGTCGCTTGAGTGATTTGCCTCTGAATGGTCAGATCGTTGGACCACATTCGAGTATCTCCTCCGACTTGCACAGAGCCGGCCATCCTACGGAACCGTTAACTGCAGCTTCCCAATTCGCCTGGCATCCGTCGGGTGAAATACACATGTCTGTCACTGGTCAAGGAACTGTTCCTATTAATACTCATAAACAAGAAACCGAAGACGTCGAGGTGATGTCCACCGACTCCTCCAGCAGCTCGTCAAGTGATTCCCAATAAATTAGCTTTAGGACTCTCACAGAGATCTCTTTTTATTTATATTTTACATGTCTACAATAAATTTATGATTTTTTTTTTTATTAACAACAAAACAAGTTTTTTGTCAAGTGAAAAAAAATTATGACAAATCACATCATCCCCAGCTCTCTTGAACACTGCATAGTCTGAATATGCTATTTTAAATTTTACCCAACCCTAACTAAGTATATAAATCGTAGCGCGCAAACGCGCTCTTGAGAATATAATCGGAGTCAAGAGGGAGATCAGGGGCCATTTAGTCAGGCAGCGGCCAGCCTTTTTTTTTCGCGAGGAAGCCGCATACTTTTGTTTACACGCTATTAGCCGCACGCGACAAGAAAAATAGATATACAAGTACAGCGAGTGGAAAAATCGCATTGTATCTCTTGAGCCGGAATTGAAGGATCAAACGAGGAAAGATGTAAATTGCGTTGGAAAAAAAAAAAAAAAAAAAACACGAGAACAACTTTATTTGGAGACGTGACAGGTGGGAAAAGCGCAAAAATGACCGAGGGAACAAAGATCACGTTAATCCTGGAGGGCAATCGCTTTCAAGTTGACAAGAAGAGGATTATGGAGAAGAGCAAGTACTTTGAATCGCTGTTCTCTCATAATTTCAGTGATTCCAAGGATAATGAGCAGATTGTTAATTACAAAGTCGAACCCATGGTTTTGCAGGTTTGTCCTTTGTGTTTTCATGATTGTCCGATTAAAAAAAAAATTAGTTATGAAAATTTAAAAAAAAGTCTTTTTATTTGTAAATTTTTATTTACAAAATTTGTTAATTTAATTGATTAGCCAATTTATTTGTTTGTTGACCTACGTCAAATTAAAATATTAATTTTCATAGGATTTTTGTGATTGGATTGAAGAGGATTCACCTAGTTCTGATGAATCTCATCAAATAAAAATATCACTACAAAAATTCCTGTCAGACAATTTTGACTGTCTCAAGCAACTATTAGAGCTGAGTATTATTTATTCTGTAGATGAATTAAGCTTAGAGTTGAGTGACTTGATGGTATCTCATTGGTTGAAGCCAGAACTACTGCTTGACATTTGGAAGCTGTCAAAAGATCTGAGTCTGGATCTTTTACGAGATGCAACCTATGCTGCTTGCCTTGATAGATTTATGGATTTGCCGGAAGAGGAACTGCTGAGTATTTCCGGCAGCGATTTTTTAAAGCTAGTGTGCAATGTTAATGTTAAATCATCCACAGATTATTTGTCCTTTATTGCCAAAGAAAGACTGAAAAATCAGGACTTCAGTAGTGAGAATAGTGATCTGCAATTAAAATTAGGAATTTATAAGTTATTAGAGCTTTTGGATAGTCCTGAGAGAAAACCATCAACAATGTATTGCATTTTTGCTGAAGCTATGATTGAAAATACCGAAGAAAGCACATTAAAGCGCCAAGTTTATGGTGTTTTAAAGCATGTTCCCGTCGAATTTTGTGAACTCGTTGAAATTTGGCGGATGGACGAGTCGGGAAAAGATTTAGTTGGCATGAGCGTCATTGGTCAAGGTAATTTTTCTGTGCAATTATAAATCAATATTGACCTGAAAACTTTTTTTTTTATCTAATCTTGAAAATAAAATTTTTCTTCAGGCTTCAGTATATACAAAATTGGTGGCGAACTACGACTGGGCTCCTGTAAATTCAATATGAACATCTGGCGTTACTGTTTGATTTCCAAAAAATGGTATTACCTGGCAAGGTGCGTACAAATTTAGCTGCAATTTACAAATACCAACTTGATATCTCAAATAAAAGACATTTCTCCCAACAGATTAAGAAAAGCTCGGAGACACATGGCCGTGGCTCTAGTCGACGAAACGTTGATTCTCTTTGGAGGCGTTGGTCGCTACCGGCTCAAGCTCTCGTCCGTCGAGATGCTGAATTTGCACACAGGCTCGTGGACGACGGCACCAGACATCCCAGAAACGTTTACAGATGTACCACCGACTTGCGTGATAAACGGCATTGTCGTTTTGTGCGTTTCCAGCATCTACATGTTCAATCCCACTACAGTGTCCTGGATCCAAGTCAAGCACGAATTCGACGCGAACGAGTTTTGCGGGGTCAAGTGTCTCACGGCTTACAAGAACATTCTGTTTATTGGTAAATTAAATCGTCTCGATGCCACTCGAGGGAACAGGTAGAAAAAAAAAGTATATTTATGTGAAACTTGACATTACAGGCAAAGAAGGTGGCAAGTTCATAGGGTACAACGTGACGTGGGAGACATCGCAGGGCGAGGATGGGAAAACAGTCGTTGTTGGAGCTCAGATCACTCTATCGGCAGGTAAGGTCTTCCAAACGATCTGCGAAAAGATTCTAATCGACGAGCACGGCCAGGCGATCGGGATGGCGCAATACTCGTTTGAGAACTACGTGATGATCGAGCACGGCCGCATAAACGAGGCGACCGGCCAATTGAATTCCGAACAGACTTGCTTGAAAAAGCCACACGCGGCCGTCACGCCGATCAGCTATCTCAATCTCATTCATCCCAACACGCTGTACAAGCAGATCCTCCTTGAATAAAAATTTCGCTGGCCACCTGGGTCATGGTAGACCTTTAGTTCCTCTGTATTTTTCATCATTAAGTCGACGAAATTGCAACATCGGGACTCTGATGAAAAATATTCTTCCAGACACTTACACATTTAGGGTTCTCTTAACAATCAATTTATTCGTTTCGTGTACATATACATACAATACGTACTTTCTCGTGATTTTTAACTTAGACGATTAGATTACACAATCAGCTGTTAAAATTTTCAATCGAACAAAGTGCAGTTTAGCCAAAATATTTCAATTCGCAGCGCGCAAACAAATGTAAACTTGGAGTGCCTTTGTAAATGCCGATGTAGATTCGCGTGACATGTTATACGTATTGTCGCGCAAATACTTCCTCCAACTGCTTTATCGTCAGTATTCTTGTGTAGAATAATATATAACATATATGTTATTCCCTTAGGGTACGTGTATATTTATGTATGATTATAAGTGTACTAGAGACGTGGCTTGTTGTATGCCATCGACGACACAAGCTTCAGTGCAACAATCGACATACTTATCATTGTAAAAATTATTTTATATCGAAAAAAAAAGAAAAAATAAATAAAAAGACGTTGCGAACGAAGGACAAAAAAAACAGGGCCAAGTCTCAAACCCGTCCCCGGCAGCGGACGCCATCAAAGCACCTGCAAACCCGCGCCAGTTCGGATCCGTTGCTCCTCGGGACGGCGAAGCAAAAATTGTCGCAACCCCCGTTGTCCTCTGCGCAGGGGTGACGGCTCAGGTCGTTTCTGTTGGCCTCCTCTGACTCGTGGATTTTCAAGCCAGCGGCCATGCGGCTGCCATAGGGCGAGAGGTCGACCTCCCCGAGATCCTCGCCGCTGGTCTTGTCGAACTTCCGGAGGCTCGTTCGATTTTGCACGTAGATGAACTTGTCGTGCACCAAGAAGCCGCTCAGGGTCGAGCCGAGGCTCTTTGCGCTGCAGATTACTTTCACGTCTCTGCCGTCCAGGTTTGAGCTTCTGATGTCCGAGTTGTTTGAGTTGAGGGTGTACAGGCGGTCATCGGGGATGTCGACGCTCGCGAAGGTCGAGTTTTCCAAGCCCAGGAGAATCTGGAAGAAGAGTAGACGCGAGGATAAAAGTGTGTAAGAGAAAACAGGATTTATTAGAGGAATACACGAATTTACATGGGAGTACTTTTAACAATTCGTCTTTCGTGTCTCAACGTTTAATTATAAGTTTACGAGACATCGAAAAAAGGTGTCTACATTTTTTTTTTTTTTTTTTTTTTTTTTTTTTTTTTTTTTTTTTTTTTTTTTTTTTTT